AGTACAATGTGATAACTACTATATTGAAAGCAACTACAAGATGCTAATTAAGCATATACTTTTTTCTATATGGAGAAGAACTAGCCTCATACTACCAAAAAAAAAAAAAAAAAAACAAATAAGCAAGAAGCTAACTCACACAAGCTATCCAGCTTAAGGCCCTGGTTATCTCTACAGTTACAATCTGTGGAGATTGCCTCAACTAAATATAAACTGTATCTGTAAGGCAACGTATTAGGAGAGTAAAATTTGATAAAGTTGAAATAGGAATTAAAACTTCTATATAGACTGGTAGCCTTTAATAACAGGTAACTGTAACCAAGAATCTGCTAGACAATTGATTTTGAGACTCTCCCCAACAAAAAAGTAAGTCCTAGAAGTGCAGGGTTTGAGGTGAGGATAGAACAGAGGAAAAGGAAAAACAATTTCATAGAAAGACTTGAGTAAGTAAACTGTCCATTTACTTAGTCCTCGTTAGAAATCAAGCAAAAGTGAAAAGGATTTGAAAAGCAACCTTAAACTATCAAAAATAATTTCTCCTACACACAATATCCTCGGACGAACATAAGACTGGCTATTTAATTAAACCCAATGAGTTAAAAATGAGGAGGACACAATGTGGTCTGACATAAACTTTGGTGTATATAAAAATCCTATGGGGAGCTTGTTAAAAATGCAAATCGCCAAGCCGTATCCTCAAAGTGAGGATTCCAAAGGTGTGGTTCAGAAACCTCTCAGTCTGTGTGTAACAGACTGAAAACGAATGTTTTTGGCATGGAAGACAGCTCAAGGTTATACACTGCTCTTCCCACCCTCTTCCCTAGTCCATTCTCAAAGAAGAGGCTCTACACTGTGAGTCCAAGACAAAATAAGAGTCCTCAGGAACAAAAAGTTGGCCAATTTTTTGTGAAGGAATAAAGGCAACATAAAAAGACTAGGACAGTATTTTCTTCTAGAATTCTCTCTTTACTTGGCTCCTTCCATTAGATCCCTTCCCTTCTACATGCTGCATACTCTTCATTGATTCCTTTCCACATAATAGGAATAGGCTATCTCCTTTTTTAAGAATGAAGCATCTCTAATCATGGACGGTGAAATAGAGACCAGCGCAGAAGTCAGAAGGAGGTCTGGGAAAAGCTACTTAAGACCACATGCTAAATTCAGAAGTAAAAGGAACTCTGGAAGCTCCCAAGGAAAAGCCTGCTAATTTAGGGAAAAGCATGAGCAATAATTAAAGTACATTAAGAGGAGAAAAAGAAAGACAAAAGAAAAATCTTTCTACAAAACACCATGTCACCCTCTTCTTTTCTGGAGGGCAGCATGATTCAGAACCCACCTGAAATAGTTTCTTGAGCCCTATCATGTGACCATATAATAAGACTTAAAATTATATACCTTTAATTTCTCTACAATTACAAAAGGTAACAAAGAACACTGTTAAAAATATTTCAAAGCATGGGTAACACAGTGAGACTTCATCTCTACAAAAAATTAAAAAACCATCTGGCGTGTACCTGTAGTCCTAGCTACTCGTGAGGCTGAGGTAGGAGGATGGTTTGAGCCAAGGAGGTCAAGCCTGTAATGAGCCATGATCATGCCACTGTGCTACACCCTGGGTGACAGAACAAAACCCTGTCTCAAAACACACACACACACACACAAAACCAAAAACAGAACAAAACCCTGTCTCAAAACACACACACACGAACCCAAAACCAAAAACAAAAGGTGCAAAAAACCTGATAAATGGCTGTCACCCCATACTCATGTCAAACTCCTTCCTATATCTGCCCTACATCCTTCAATTACCCAGACGTAACAATTCTACTCCTAAATGTCAACTCTATGCCCACCTAATTGTTCTCTTTACCACAGCTTCATTTAAGAGATGTATCATCTCATCTGAAGTACTTCCTTTACCTCAAACTGATCTCCTTACCTTAAGACTGTATCCAACAACCAATTCTCCTCACTGGCAACTAAGTGATCTTTTTATTCATATCACTGCCCAGCAGTGATACGAGAAATGAGTGAAATGAGAAGTCTCGCCCTGTCGCCCAGGCTGGAGTGCAGTGACACAGTTGCAGCTCATTGCAACCTCCACCTCCCAGGTTCAAGCGATCCTTCTGCCTCAGCCTCCCGAGTAGCTGGAACCACAGGCGCGTGCCACCACGCCTGGCTAATCTTTTAGTTTTTAGTAGAGACAGGGTTTCACCATATTGGCCAGGCTGATCTTGAACTCCTGACCTCGTGATCCACCCGCCTTGGCCTCCCAAAGTGCTGGGATTACAGGCGTGAGCCACCACACCCGGCCGCACAATTTTCATAATCAAATTTAACTATGTGAAATCACTTACATCATAAAATAGTTTTCTATCAGCAGCAAGTCGTTTAGATGCCAGTGTCTTGGTAACATGATAGAAGGTAAGTAATGCTCTGTGCTGTCGAAGATCATCCTGGACTTTAACAGACTCTATAAGAGTGGGAATTAGTTCAGGCCACTGTCTGGGACAATCCAATCTAGCAACCTTTGCAATCAGCACTGCAATCTGAGTTGCAATCTAAAAGGAAAAAATGAGAAATAAACAAATGGAATCAAGGAAATAGATAAGGAATGCATTCTCGGTGAAAAATCACCTTGTTAATTATACATTTGACAAAAATGAACACAATTTCACTGAATGACTGCTTAAACAGTGGTTCTCAAAGTGTGGCCCATGGACCCCTGGTAGAGCTAGGACACTTTCTGGGACCTATGAGGTCCTCCTTTACCCAATTACCTGTCAGTGTGAAACAAAGTTTTCTTCATATAACGTCTACAGTGTATCACAACAGAGTAAATGAAGAAGCAGATATGAAAACCTAGATGTCTTCCTTTAAATAGCCAGACCCTAAAAATGCATGCCAATGCCACCTTTCTCACTAAATTTTTATTGTTTGGGAAACAGCTACTATTGCTCATTTCCAAAACTGCTATGTTGACAAGTATGATATAATTTTTTACACTAATATTTTTAAGTTTCTCAGTTTTAATTTATAACACAGTAAATATCAACAGATATAACTCCTTTAGGTCTTCCATTTTAGCAGTATAATGAGATCCTGTGACCACAAAGTTTAAGAATCCTGACCTAAAAGTAGAAAGAAACATCAAATATTGGGCATTTAAATAATGATATTTCTACACACCATTGTTTCCCAAATGCTAGCTGAAAGAACAATTAGGCAGTTGTTCATCGATCAGTAACACAAACCCCTCCCTAATCACCTCCTGCCCCATTAAAGGTAACTCTGTTTTTCTCCATTATCCTTTAGCTCTTTTGTAAAGAAAGAGCAAAGAACTGAGATCATTTAAACAGGTCAAAATAAAACTGTATTGGAAATATTGCCAAATACAATTGTGCTTTAATAGCTCAATTTAAAAAAGCAAGCATAACCAAGTATTATCTCGAAAAAACTTAAGAATTATTGTACCTATAAGCAAAACTTATTTTATTCTTAGAAGACAAACCTCAATATATAAAAAAAAGATAAAACTGTACATAATTTACTATCTAGCTGCCACAGAATAGTAGGAATTGAAAATGTGATGGTTGCAACCAATAGAAAAAAACCTAAAGCCATTCTGTAGTTTTTTTTAAAAAAAGTGGTGGGGGCCGGCCAGGCACAGTGGTTCACGCCTATATTCCCAGCACTTTGGGTGGTCGAGGCGGACGGATCACGAGGTCAGATCGAGACCATCCTGGCTAACACGATGAAACCCCATCTCCACTAAAAATACAAAAAATTAGCCAGGCATGGTGGTAAGCACCTGTAGTCCCAGCTACTCCGGAGGCTCAGGCAGGACAAAGGCGTGACAGGACAGGCAGGACAAAGGGAGGTGGAGCTTGCAGTGACCTGAGATTGCGCCACTGCACTCCAGCCTGGGCAACAGAGCGAGACTCTGTCTAAAAAAATAAAAAAATAAGGCGGGGGGGAAGATAATCTAAAAATTACAATCATTAAAATTAATTCTTGTGCAGTGAGACTACAAATATAGCCATGTATCACTTAACGACAGAGATATATTCTGAGAAATGTGTCATTAGGCAATTCTGTGGATGTGTGAATATCACAGAATGTATAGTAATTGTATGTGCTATACTTTTGTAAGACTAGCAGCAGCGCAATAGGTTTGTTTACACCAACATCACCACCAATTAATGAGTAATACATTGCACTACAGTATTAGGACAGCTATGATGTCAATGGGTGAGAAGAACTTTTCAGTTCCATTATAATCCTATGGGACCACGATTATATATGCAGTCCACTGTTGCCCAAAACAACAGTAGGTATCACATGACTATATAGAGAGATTTGCTTTAAATACAGGCTCATAAAATGAGAAAGCTGGAAAGTATACAAATATACCTTAAAATGACTTCTGGGCTTTAAATAATTAATAACCAAATCTAATCAAAACTACTCAAAGCTACAAATAGATCTCAAAACGTAAAAAAAAGTAAAAACATCACAAATGAAAATAGTGTAATAGTGATATTTTTATTTATTTTTCATTTTAATGCCAGAATATAAAATTAGTTTGGAAAAGCAGAAGAAATTAAAAGAAAAATTAGCATTCATTTTTCTCACTAACCTGGTTTATTGGTTCATTGAAGTTGGTGATGAGCCCTGCACGTAGAGTCGTTTTCTCCTCCTCTGACAGAGCACTGTAAAAAAAAAATATTGATTATGCAAAAGAATGCCACCTAATAAAAAATGTAGGTAGCACTACTGTAAATTTTAATAATAAAAAGTCTTTCAAACATGTGTCTCTGATTGGTTTTTGTAAATAAAAAGGATTATTTCCATTACTTGTACATCAGCACTACTATGAACTTTAACAATAAAAAGTCTTCTAAACAACTGTCCCTGATTGGTTCTGGGAAATGAACAAGATTATTTCTATTACTCGTACAATGGCACATCAGATAAGTTGGAAGCATAAAATTCCTTCACGATTGAATAAATGGGAAGCACCACACAGTAAGCAAGAGTAAATAAGACAAATCCAGGTAATTAATATATTTGATGTTCACTTTTATTGATGTAAAAATAGTAGCCTACAAAACAAAAAGATGGCTACAAAAAATCTATACAAGTAAATATTGCCATTTCATCGGCTTCTTTCATAAAATCTGTGTGAGATTATTCTATGGGGCAAGAGATTCAGAATCAGAGAATATTTGGAACGGGCGACTTATGAGAAATCAACTAGCTTAAACCTTTCATTTTAAACATCTCCAAAAAGAATAAACACAATACTAATAATTTCAACTGCATATGAGAAAGGAAAACAGAAAGGTATTGGACAGGAAAAGGAGAACACTACTATGTAAGACTGAATACATACATATGAATGTGTTGTTAATTTTAAAATGAAGGCCAGGCACAGTGGCTCAGGCCTGTAATACCAGCACTTTGGGGAGGCCAATGCAGAAGGATGGCTCGAGCCCAAGAGGTCAAGGCTGCAGTGAGAGATGATTGCACCACTGCACTCCAGCCTGGGCAACAGAACAAGACCTTGTCTCTTAAATATTTTTTTGAATAGTAAATGTACATTAGATTTTAATGCCTCATTTTAAGGTTTTCCATTCTGGGTATCAGAATTAAATTAATTAAATTAAATTAAATTAAATTAAAGCACACAACAACAATAGCATTAAAAACAGGAGGGATTAGACAGAATTAACATATTACTACAAGGTTCTGGCATTAACTAGAAAAAGTGAAGCGCCAGCTATGGTGGCTCATGCCTGTAATCCCAATCCTATGGGAAGCTGCGATAGAAGAATTGCCTGGGGCCAGGAGTTCAAGATAAGCCTGGGCAACATAGCAAGATCTCACTTCTACAAAAAATTAAAACTAAAAAAAAATTAGCAGAACATGGCGGTATACACCTGTAGTCTGAGGTACTCAGGAGGCTGAGATAGGAGGCTTTCTTGAGCCCAGGAGGAGGAGGCTGCAGTGAGTTATGATTGTGCCACTGCATTCCAGCCTGGGCAACAAAGTAAGACTCTGTCTCTAAAAAAAAAAAAGTAAGGTACTAATACAAGGATATCAAGGGTCCATGTTACAATCACTTAAATAATGAAAACATACTAAACGTTTTAGAGTAAAACTGAGTAATAAAAACTGTCTTGAATACAGTTGTCCTCCTTTATTCATAGTTTTACTTTCCATGGTTTCAGTAATCTACCATCAATGAAGTAGATTCAATGAATGGAATGGAAAATTCATAGGTTTTGAATAGCGTAGCATCCTGAATAGCATGATGAAATCTCATGCTGTCCTGCCCTGTCTGGCCTGGGATGTAAATTATTCCTTTGTCAAGCACACCCATACTGTACATGCTACCTGCCCACTAGACATTTAGTAGCTACTTTGTTATCAGACTGAAAAAAAAAACATACTAAATACAGGACTTAGGACTATCTGCAGTTTCAGGCATCCAGTGGGAGTCTTGGAACCTATCACCTACAGATAAGGAGGAACTACTGTAATCCAAAGGAAAGCAAGAAACAAAAAAAGGGAACAGATATCAAGACATACAGAAAACAAAGTGTGAGGCTGGACACAGTAGCTTACGCCTGTAAGCCCTGCACTCTGGAAGGCTGAGGCAGGAAGATCACTTGAGGCCAGGAGTTCAAGACCAGCCAGGACAACACAGTGAAACCCTGTCTCTACTAAAAACACAAAATTTAGCTGGGCATGGTGGCGCATGCTTGTAATCCCAGCTACTCGGGAAGCTGAGGCATGAGAACTGCTTGAACCTGGGAGGCAGAGGCTGCAGTGAGCTGAGATGGTGTCGCTGTATTCCAGCCTGGACAACAGAACAAGACTCTGTCTCAAAAAAAGAAAAGAAAAAGAAAAAGAACAAAGTGTGGGCAGATTTAATCCCAATATATTAGTAATTACATTAAGTATAAATGGGCATAATACTAAAATTAAAAGACATTTATGATAAAATTGTATGAAAAAACAAATCCAAAGCCGAGCATGGTGGCTCATGCCTATAATCCCAGCACTTTGGGAGGCCAAGAGACTGGGACTGCTTGAGCTCAGGAGTTTGAGACCAGCCTGATCAACCTGGCGAAACCCTGTCTCTACCAAAAATACAAAAATTAGCCAGGCATGGTGGCACGCACCTGTGGTCCCAGCTACTCCAGAGGCTGAAGTGGGAGGATCACTGGAGCCTGTGAAGTCAAGGTTGCAGTGAGCCATGATGGCACCACTGCACTCCAGTCTGGGTGACAGAGCAAGACCCTGTCTCAAAAAAAAAAAAGAGAGAGAGAAAAAAGAAAGGGTACAATCACGATGCAATGGAGAAAGAACACATGTCCCTACTTCACATGAGCACCTTGTACAAAAATAAACTCCAGATAGATCATACAACTAAAATAGAAAAGGAAAACAAAGCTTTCAGTAGAAAACAGTATTTTCATGACCACCGGCTAAGCAAAAAATTCATAAATAGGCTGGTAGCACTGGCTCACACCTGTAAATTCCAGCATTTCGGAAGGCCAAGGTGGGAGGGTCACTTCAGTCAGGAGTTCAAGACTAGCCTGGGCAACCTGGCAAGACCCCATCTCTACAAAAAATTTTTTAAAATTAGGCACTGGTGGCACACACCTGTAGTCACAGCTACTCAGGAGGCTGAGGCAGGAGGACTGCTTGAGCCCAGGAGTTAGAGGTTACACTGAGCTATGATTGCATCACTGCACTCTAGCCTGGGCAACAGAATAAGACCCTGTCTTCTTAAAAAAAAAAATTATAAAAAAAACTACAACCCAAAAGAAGTAATCATAGAAAGGTAATTAAATTAAACTTCATAAAATTAAGGGCTTCTGAAGTCACAAAGTTGATTTTTTTTTTTTTTTTTTTTGCAGACAGAGTCTCACTCTGTTGACCAGGCTGGAAAACAGTGGCATGATCTCAGCTCACTGCAACCTCCGCCTCCCAGGTTGGAGAGATTCTGCTGCCTCAGCCTGTTCAGTAGCTGGGACCACAGATGTGCGCCACTATGTCCAGCTAGTTTTTGTATTTTTAGTAGACATGGAGTTTCATCATGTCGGCCAGGCTGGTCTCGAACTCCTGACCTCAGGTGACCTGCCCGCCTAGGCCTCCCAAAGTGCTGGGATTACAGGTGTGAGCCGCTGCACCTAGCCTAGGAGAAGATATTTGTAATACATACATTTGACAAAGGACTTGTATCCAAAATAAAACTCCCATAAATCAATAAGATAATCCAATTTTTTAAACGTTCAAATAACACACCCTTCACAATAGAGGATATCCCAATGACCAACAAGTACATTTAAAAAGTACTGATCATTAAAGACAATGCAAACTAAAATTACCAAGCCCACCAGAAAGACTAAAATGAAAGATCAGACCAAGTGCGGATAAGAATGCAAAGCAAATACTAACACTCGTATGTTGCTGTGGCAGTGCAATCTGATACAACCAGCCTAGAAAATTAACAATATCTACTAAAGTTGAACACACATCTGACTATAAATGGTAATAAAATGCACATGTGTGTAAAAGTTTCTAGAATGCTATAAGTGTTCTATCTAGTTCCAAGTGGCAGTTACACAGGTGTCTTTGCATTATAAACATTCAAACTACACCCTTTACTTGTGCACTGTTTAAAGTATGTTATATATTACACTTCAAAGAAAGTATTTTAAAATCTTAATGACTTACTCAAAGTTAATAAATGAGAAAACAAGATTAACATAAACATTCAGGTCATTAAAAATATCTCTCTAATCCTTTTATGACTGTGCTATACTTTCCAACTTGAATAGTTCCCTTCTACTATCAAACCCGACATAACGTGTTCTCCTACAATATTTTGCTTTACACTTGTAATTGAACTTTTCTTCTATGCCAAGGAGCCAGGTTTATCAGTTTGCATAACTCTAACTACAATAAAAGTGTATAATGGGCCAGGCGTGGTGGCTCACGCCTGTAATCCCAGCACTTTCGGAGGCTGAGGCGGGTGGATCACGAGGTCAGGAGATCGAGACCATCCTGGCTAACACGGTGAAACCCCGTCTCTACTAAAAATACAAAAAATTAGCCAGGTGTGGTGGCAGGCGCCTGTAGTCCCAGCTACTCAGGAGGCTGAGGCAGGAGAATGGCGTGAACCCAGGAGGCGGAGCTTGCAGTGAGCCGAGATTGTGCCACTGCACTCCAATCTGGGCGACAGAGTGAGACTCCATCTCAACAACAACAACAACAAAAAGTGTGTAATGACTAGCTATCAAAATAGATCATGCAAAAAAATACACAGATGCTCCTGACTTACGATGGGGTTACCTCCTGATAAACCCACAGTAAATAAAAAATACTGTAAGTCAAAGATTTATTTTATATCTAACCTACTGAACATCGTATCTTAGCCTAACCTACCTCAAACATGCTCAGAACACTTACATTAGCCTACGGCCGGGCAAAAGCATCCAACACAAAGCCTATTTTATAATAAAGTAGTAAATATCTCATGTTAATTTATTGAACACTATACTGAAAATGAAAAATACTGTACTGAAAGTGAAAAACAGAATGGTTGTATGGAGACTTGAAGTATAGTTTCTACTGAATACATACATATTGCTTTGGTATCATAGTGAAGTAAAAAAAAAAAAAAATCATTAAATCAAACCACCATAAGTCAGGGATTGTATATATATTAAAGAAATAAGTCATTAACCTGAAGAAAATTCACATCTTTAACAATTCTCTAATAATAATTTACATTCCACCTTTAATTTTATGCATGTTATCATTAGATGAATTCAAACTATGTTCCAAGCAGAAATTGGATAGTATTTAATTAACTAGGACCCAGATAAATTGCAATGTATATGGTAATGGTAACAAGCTTGTTAGTTAATTCTCATTCTGTGAAAATGGTTAAGAGTAGGATCTATACAAAATGAAACAGGTAAGTATAGAAACAAGCATATTTTTAAAAAGTCTCAAGTTTGTAAGTTCAATTACTAATCTGCCACCCATGCTCCCTCTTTCTAAAGACATTCATCTCCTTTTCAGCTTTTATCTCAATATACACTAAAAGAGACAGCTTGGGATTTAACTATCAAATACTGCATAAATTCTCTCATAACTTTTTAAATTTAAGCAGAAGTCCAGGTTCTAATTCATTATGTAAAAGTGAAGCCTGAAATATTTAATAATTTACCTTCAAAATAATCATTTTTATATATATATATTTCTAAGTATGTTCACACACACACACACACACACACACACACACACACACACCTCTCTCTCTCTCTCTCTCTCCCCGTCTGTCTGTCTTTTGAGATATAGTCTCACTCTGTTGCCCAGGCTGGAGTGCAGTGGCACGTTCTTGGCTCACTGCAACCTCTACCTCCTGGGTTCAAGTGATTCTCCTGTGTCACCCTCCCCAGCAACTGGGATTACAGGCATCCACCACCACACCTGGCTAATTTTTGTATTTTTAGTAGGGGTGGGGTTTCACCATGTTGGCCAGGCTAGTCTCAAACTCGTGACCTCAAGTGATCTGCCCACCTCGACCTCCCAAAGTGCTGGGATTACAGGAGTGAGCCACTGTGACCAGCCAAGACAATCATTTATAACTATATCCTTTATATAACCAGCAAAACAAAATGAATCTTAAGAGACATGCAAAATTTAATTGGACAAAGCAGTAGAAAAGTGCTGCTGGGCCACTGCCTATAAACCAATAATGCACACTTTCTCATCACCTCCTACCAAATTTCTCCCCGAAATTATGAATTAATCCTATCTAAAAAATTAATCCGGCCAGGCACAGTGGCACACGCCTGTAATCCCAGCACTTTGGGAGGTCGAGGCAGGCAGATCACAAGGTCAGGAGATCGAGACCATCCTGGCTAACATGGTGAAACCTCAGCGCTACTAAAAATATAAAAAATTAGCCAGGTGCTGTGGCAGGCACCTATAGCCCCAGCTACTCGGAAGGCTGAGGCAGGAGAAGGGTGTGAACCCGGGAGGCGGAGCTTGCAGTGAGCCGAGATCGCACCATTGCACTCTAACCTGGGCGACAGAGCGAGACTCTGTCTCAAAAAAAAAAAAAAGAAGACATGTTTGCTTTAAATCTTAATATAGTATCCTAAGCGCAGCCTGAAAATATTCTTCTTGTTCCCAATATTATTCAAGGACATGTTTTATATGCATTTTGAAGTATTCAGACTGAGAAAAGTCTTATGGCTTTAAGCATTTACAGAGCTATAGTGCCATCTACTGGAAAACACAGATTATGATGCTTCTTAGGCAAAATTCAGTACCGTATTTTGTATCAAACAAATCCCAGGGTCATGTCTACAATGATTTTCCACTGATTATATAACATGTAAAATTAACTACTAAGAGAAATCTGTTAACAAGGTACATTAAACAGTTATAACTGAATACTAATGTGATTACAAATGTATACTAATCCATTCCCACCACAGAGAAAGAATGCATAAGACTCAGAAATTACACCCAGCTGGTTCAGAGTTGACCCGGGATTTCCTTCTGAATGGCTTTTTTTCCCAAATCCTAACCTTACATTTCTGTTTCTTTTTTCTTGAGATGGGATCTCTCCATGTTGCCCAGGCTGGTCTCAAACTCCTGGGCTCAAGCAATCCTCCTGCCTCAGCCTTTTAACATGCGTAGGACTAAAAATAAGGGCTTTTGTTCAACATGACTCACTCAGCATGATCCTTGCAAGCAGAGGGCCAACATGACACACTCACACACACACCCAAAACCATGAAGAAAACAATAATATAGCTGTTGATTTGTCATTAACTAAATAGAACATTTATTCAGTAAACACTTTTTTGGCATTTTTTAAAATATCAAACACTTCACAAATCATCCTTGCACAGAGACCATGCTAATCTCTATATTGCTCCAATTTTAGTTATATGTGCTGCAGAAGTGCTAACACATTTTTTTACATAAACAAGTACATTCTTACACCTTTCTGAATTTGGGAAGGATTACACCCAAGGAATAGAGGAAGTGATCGAACTTACTGAGGTGCTACACGTCTCCAGTAGCGATCAATTCCATGTTTAAAATACAGTACAGCAAGCCACCTTACATTTATATCCAAAGTGTGGTTTGTGAAAATATTCTATAAATAAAAAACATAATATTAGAATTAACATGGAATAAGTAAAAAGTATAATTAATGTACCCACAATAAAGTATGAACAGGTCTTTTTTTTTGAGACAGAGTTTGGCTCTTGTCTCCCAGGCTGGAGTGCAATGACACGATCTTGGCTCACTGCAACCTCCGCCTCCCAGGTTCAAGCAATTCTCCTGCCTCCGCCTCCCAAGTAGCTGGGGTTACAGGTGCCTGCCACCAAGCCCAGCTGATACTTTGTATTTTTTTTTTTTTTTTTTGTAAAGACAGGGTTTCACCATGTTGGCCAGGCTAGTCTCAACCTCCTGACCTCAGGTGATCCACTCGCCTGGGCCTCCCAAAGTGCTGGGATTATAGGCATGAACCACCACGCCTGGCCTGGACAGATCTTTTAATTAAATTTGTTTACATTCTATCACTACATATATCATATCCACATTTATGAAGTATATACAGTTCTACAATTAATGTAAGAAAGTATACCTGCTCAGTTGTATGTTAACTGTTTAAGCTGAGTAACAGACATGCAGAGAGTAATTGTACTATTCTGCTTTTAGGTGTGTTTGAAAATTCCGCTAGTAAAAAAATTAAATTCAGAAAAAGGAAACCTAATTATTTTTCAAATGAAAACCATAGCCCCACACATATTCAATAAAATATATAACTTCCAAATTAGAAAAAGTAGGCCCACTACAGCACAGATTCAAAGATTCTAAGCAATCAAGGCCCCAGGGTTGTTAATACATGCTATGAAATAAAACTATTTCATAGTATCCTCCTTATCAAAACAATTATGCTTGTAAATAAGCTTGATAAAGCTGTGCATGGTGGCTCACGCCTGTAATTCCAGCACTTTGGGAGGTTGAGGCAGGCGAATCACAAGGTCACGAGATCGAGACCATCCTGGCCAACATAGTGAAACCCCAATTCTACTAAAAATACAAAAATTAGCTGGGCATGGTGGTGCATGCCTGTAATCCCAGCTACTCAGGAGGTCAAGGCAGGAGAATCACTTGACCCAGGGAAGTGGACGTTGCAGTGAGCTGAGATCACACCACTGCGCAACATCCTGGTGACAGCTAGACTCTGCCTCAAAAAAAAAAAAAAAAAAGTTTGATAGCAGAACACTTTTAAGAGACACAAAGCGGCCGGGCGTGGTGGTTCACACTTGTAATCCATACACTTTGGGAGGCTGAGACAGGTGAATCACCTTGAGGTCAGGAGTTCGAGACCAGCCTGGCCAACATGATGAAACCTCGTCTCTACTAAAAATACAAAAAATTAGCTGGGCGTGGTGCTGCACACCTGTAATCCCAGCTACTCAGTAGACTGAGGCAGGAGAGTTGTTTGAATCCAGGAGGCGGAGGTTGCAGTGAGCTGAGATCACGCCACTGCACTCCAGCCTGGGCAACAAGAGCAAAACTCTGTCTCAAAAAAAAAAAAAAAAGGAGCCGGGCACAGTGGCTCACGCCTGTAATAGCAACACTTTGGGAGGCCGAGGAGGGCAGATCACCTGAGGTCAAGAGTTTGAGACCAGCCTGACTAACATGGAGAAACCCTGTTTCTATAAAAATATAAAAATTAGCCAGGCATGGTGGCACATGCCTGTAATCCCAGCTACTTGGGAGGCTGAGGCAGGAGAATCGCTTGAACCCGGGAGGGAGAGGATGCAGCGAGCTGAGATCACACCATTGCACTCCATCCTGGGCAACAAAAGTGAAACTCTGTCTCAAAAAAAAAGACAGATAAAACTACATGTGATGTGAATAATCTCAACTCAAAATTAACCATTACTCCAAAAAAGTATTCATTATGTTAATCCAAATAATAATAATGTTATAATTATACTATGTCTCAGACCAAAAATAACTCAAATTCCCAGAGGTGACCTCTCAAACCTTGTACAGGAAAATCTCAAAGCCAAAAATGACGTGGAAGTATGTCCTTTGCTATAGAAAAACATTTATAAGTTTTTGTGTTTTTTTTTGAGATGGAGTCTCGCTCCCGTTGCACAGACTGGAGTGCAGTGGTGCAATCTTGGCTCACTGCAACCTCCACCTCCCAGGTTCAATCAATTCTCCTTCCTCAACCTCCCAAATAGCTGGGATTACAGGGATGCGCCACCACGTCCGGCTAATTTTTGTATTTTTAGCCAAGACGGGTTTTGCCATGTTGGCCAGGCTGATCTTGAACGCCTGATCTCAGGTGATCCACCCGCCTTGGCCTCCCAAAGTGCTAGGATTACATAAAGAATAAGATGTTTTCTTTACTATCTTTTAAAATCAGTATTTTTTTTTTTTTGCCATTCTGTTACTGAGCCAAACAGCCAACTTTTTTGTTATATTCAGAATAACAAGTCTGACTTTAAACAATTTCCCTTACAGTCACGACCAATATCTTCTTCAATTTAACAAACAACTCAAACTTTTTTAGCCAACAAGTTAAAATATATATGACAACTACTACCACTTATATTATTTTGCAAGATATAATGAACAATTTTGCTCTGATTCTATGACCCGGTCACAAATAATGAGTCAATTTTTAACCCAAGTGGGAGCTTTTGTTGCCCTGACCAGAAGCTAAGCCTCAAACACTAATCAGAATTCTCAATTTCTTAGAAGAAAAGTATAAGGAAGGTCTTCAACACAAAAATACTTCTTTCATTCTGGCATTGAGAAAATAATTTTGATTAATTAGTCAAAAACTTTAAACTCCAACAAAGGTTTGTTTAAAGTGCATATTGTTAATTAATTATACTACTTCCTATTACACCCAAGAAAGCATCAGATGTGTCAAGAGAAGGAAATTTTTAGATGAGAAAAGAAAACATTTTAAAGTGAAATACACAGTACACCTGACACTGATGCTGCAATGTGGAGACCTAAACAACTATGACAACATAAATTACCTGGGGTAGGGATAAAGACAAAACATGAAAGAGTGCCACCTCCAGTCCTGATGGTAGATACTTTCAACATACTAAAACTGAAAATCATCACGGTTTTGCCTTCTGAGCAGATGCTACACGTACCTTTCTTATTTTTATATTTATCAATAAATATTTCTTTAACACCCTTAAGAAGCCATAAAGTAATAAAATAATGGCAAAGGCATCAGCAGCCAAACATTTGAATCTATTTCACTAAACTACCAATAAAACTAGGTTTTTAAAACAAATTAATGTTGTCTCATTTTATTAAAAAGAAAAGCAAACAATTTTAGAACAACTTACCAGCAACACTGAATAGAAACCTGGCTGTGTCTCCCACTGCTTCAGCTGCTCCTCGGCTGGTTTTAACACAGCAGTATCCTGACTGGTGGCCTGTGTTAAGACCTGAAGAACAACAGTGCTGGCACTATTGAGATCCATGGAAACCTGGCAATGATAAGTTAACATACTTGAATGTGTGTATTACAATAAAAAATTAACAGTAAAATAAATGGAGACAAAAAGCTTTCATGTACTGAATTACTCCTATTCATCTACTCCTTCATGTTCTGCCTTTCTATCTTTTCTAAGTATATCCACACTCTTCCTTAAAATTCATAATCAAATTATTTTTGCTTAAATCAATTTATTCTTAAAGGAAACTCTCTTTCATTGTTCTATAAATGGAAGATAATAAATTGAGGGAGGGGAGACACACACACAAACTTCAAAGTTTCTAAATTCTAAGTAACTATCATTATGTGCCCAAGACTAAGCATAATGCCTTCTGTCTTCGTTTTAAAAAGGAGACTAATAAGTGTTATAAAAGTATTAAACCATGTAGCAAGTAGCACCTAACTTTATCCTTGACAAAATCAGAAGGAACAGAAGAAAATCGAAAAAGAGTTGCTTTGACTCATTTGTAAAGTACTCTCCAACATCATCTTACATGCCACCAGTGGTACACGTCCAAATCATTTTAAGAAACACGCAAAATGAAATGCTATGGAGAAAAAAGCCAAACTGACCTATTAAACAAAAATCTAAAACCTAAGTCAGAAAGGATCTTAAGGGCTGGGTCATCTAATCCTATACCACGTAGCTGAAGCCATTCAACAAATACACAATTTCTTGAATTTGTTGAATTCTCCAGGCTTCTGTTTCTAATCACCCCCAAAATTGCATACACAATTCTATACTTAGCAAGTATGTATAGTTATTTACAATATACACGTACAAAACATAAGGATTAAAACTGAAAGCTGAAAATGCTGACAGAAAATAAATCGTTCTCAGTGCAGGGGTGACAGGGAATAGCTTTGTACTGTATTGATATAGCTTAGTGATAATGGGTAACTCTATGACTGAAGAATGTTCCAGACAGTAAAAGTCTGAAAGTTATTAGCCTATAAAGAATATAGCCAAAGCAAATGGATTTCTTTGTTAAAATAATTATAATTAAATTGCAGTGAAATGGCAAGATCCCAAATGCTGATTCAACAAGAAATCTGACCTAGATTATCTTTTAGGGAAAATTAACCATTTCAAAACCTATGTAAGTAAAGCAGGGCTAATCAAAACCACAAAAATTTCACTGTACCATCTTAAGAAGGGCCCAATAACTAGAATCTGAAAAATACCAACAGTTAGTAATAGAGTTGCATTAAGATTTGATTTGATTTTGATTTAGTTTTTGAGACGGAGTCTCACTCTGTCACCCAAACTGGAGTGCAATAGCACACAACCTCAAACTCACTCCACCTCCCAGGTTCAAGTGATTCTCTGGTCTCAGCCTCCCCGGTATTTGGGATTACAGGTGCACACCAACAAGCCCAGCTAATTTTTGTATTTTTAGTAGCAACAGGGTTTCACCATGTTGGCCAGGTTGGTCTCAAACTCCTGACCTGAGGTGATCCAACTGCCTCGGCCTCCCAAAGTGCTGGATTACAGGTGTGAGCCACCATGCCTAGCCAGATTAAGATTTTTTTTTTTTTTTTTTTTTTTTTTGAGATAGAGTCTTGCTTTGTTGCCCAGGCTGGAGTGCACTGGCACGATCTCGGCTCACTACAACCTCCGCCTGCCAGGTCCTTGGCCTCCCAAAGTGCTGGGATTACAGGAGTGAGCCACCATGCCTAGTCCAGATTAAGATTTTAAATTTCTGTCGCCCAGGCTGTAATACAGTGACGTGATCACTGCTCACGGCAGCCTCGACCTCAAGTGATCCCTCCACCTCAGCCTCCTAAGTAACTGGAACACAGGCATGTACCACCAGGCCCAGCTAATTTATTTTTATTTTTATATTTTTTGTAGAGACAAGGTCTCACTTTGTTGCTCCGGCTGGTCTCGAACTTCTAGGCTCAAGCAATCCCTCCCAAAGTGTTGTGATTACAGGCATGAGCCATAGCATCTGGCCTAATTTTATATTTTCTAGCAGCCACGTTAAGTAGTAAAAAGAAATATGTAAAATTAATCTTAATATATTATATATGTATTTTACTACAGCCGCTCTGATTTATATATATACACACACACACACACACACACACACATATATATATATATTTTTTTGAGACAGAGTCTCACTCTGTGCCTAGGCTAGAGTGCAGTGATGCAATCTCAGCTCACTGCAACCTCTGCCTCCCGGGTTCAAGCAATTATCCTGCCTTAGCCTCCCAAGTAGCTGCGATTACAGGCGCGAGCCACCACGTCCAGCTAATTTTTTTATTTTTAGTAGAAACTGGGTTTAGCCATACTGGCCAGGGTGGTCTCAAACTCCTGACCTCAAATGATCTGCCCACCTCGGCCTCCTGAAGTTCTGGGATTACAGGCGTAAGCCACTGCACCAGGCCTAATAGTGTATTTGACTCAATATATCCAAAATGTTTTCACTGCAACATGTAACCAATATTTTTAAAATATATTGAGATATTTTACTTTTAATACTAAATCTTCAAAATCCTGTGTATCTTTTACACTTAAAGCACATCTCATGGCCAGGTGTGGTGGCTCACACCTGTTAATCCCAGTACTTTGGGAGGCTGAGGCGGATAGATCGTCTGAGCCCAGGATGTCAAGACCCACCTGGGCAACAGAGTAAAATCTCGTCTCTACAGAAAGTACAAAAATTACCCAGGTGTGGTAGTGTGCACTTGTAGTCCCAGCTACTAAGGAGGCTAAGGTGGGAGGATCACCTGAGCCCAGGGAGGTCCAGGATACAGTGAGCTGTGATCATGCCACTGTACTCCAGCCTGGGAAACAGTGAAACCCTGTCTCAAAAACACAAACAAAAAAAAGATCGACTGCAACTGAGTGTGTCACTTTAGATTGGGTATTCAGGGAAAGCTTCTGAGAAGTGACACTTATGACAGACATGAACGACAAGAGAAACCCACGCAAAGATCAGAAGGCAGAGTTCAGATAGGGAAAACAACTAGAAAAAAGGCCTTGGGATCAGAAACAAACTTAAGAAGGCCAATATGACTGACACTTAGTGGGAAACAGGGAAAGTGGCAGAAAATGAAGTTGGAGAAAAGGGCAGGAACAAATGGGGCCAAATAAGATGTCTAGACTTTTCATATAGGTATAAAAATAGACACAGGATAGGAACAATATAAATATATTGACGTCAACAGATGAATGGAGAAAAGCTCTACCAGAACTCATACTCATCTCACCCCTCCACCAAAGAAATAAAGATAAAAGTCACGGCCTTGCTTTGGGCTACTACTAAAAAAATCACTGACTACTACCAACCCTCAAAGCAATTTTTCCCTAGAGCAAAGACTGTGTGGAGAACATAAACGCACACAGCAAAGCAATCCTTATCCTCATCATTTTTCCTGTTCTAGTGGAATCTGCTAGAGTTTCCCATCCCTGCCTCCTTCCAGTACCTGCCCCATCCAGGTTATCCCCTTGCTTTGGCGCTTGCTCCTAAGAAGCCCATCCAGTCTCAGGGGGAAGAGCTCAGTTCATACAGTTTTGGGGCATCTATTTTGTGCCAGACACTGCAGTAGTTGTTAGGATAAGAATCAGAACAGTCTCTGTTGTCTACCCAAAATCTATGGGCTACTGGGGAGAGAGGCAGAGGAAGCTATGCTTTTTTTGTTTTTGTTTTTTTTTATTTTTTTTTTTTTGAGACGGAGTCTCGCTCTGTCGCCCAGGCTGGAGTGCAGTGGCCG